TGTGTGTCTGAGCTGCCTAAAAGAGATGGTAGGTTGGAAAGAAAATATCCAGTAGCTACATACAAAAACCTGCATAACTTAGATCAACAAGTGGGGGGGTGGACTGAGATGATCTTTAAGGTCCCTTCCAACTCTCATCATTCTATGATTCTACTTTTGCCTTCTACGCTATCAAATCAGATTAACCAGCCAGGAAAATATACTATTAAAAAAAAAAAAAAAAAAAAAAAACCCAAAAAAACCCAAACCCAAAACAACCATTGAAAACAGAGGTAGAAAATTTACTCTAGAGGGAGAAGATGACTAAGTATCACCAGTTGTCTATAGGACACATAACTGCAAGTTAAGGTTTTATAAAACCGATCACAGAGCACTACTGCAATGTACCAGTCTTACTCCAGCTTCTACATTAACAGAAGCCTTTCTATACAGGCAGGATTTATCAATACATTGAACTATACAATTAAACAGAAACCAGGGTCATACATATATCCAAGGATTGTTCAGTTTGGAATTAGTACACCCAGTTTCCCAAAGTCTTGCAACAAGGGTCTTTATTTTCCTTTAAGGGATGGGGAAGAAATGATCAGCATGTGTCTGAGCAGAAGGCTCGATTTTAAGCCTTTTAAGCCTGTTACCAGTAAAATACCCAATTTACTTCAACCAACCAACAGTGAGGGATGCACAGCATTCATTTTACTTCTCATGATTTTGGCACTCCAGACCCAAGATGCGCCTCTAAATCAACAAGAAATAGTAGCTCAGCAGAACGTCAACACTGACTTAATTTTAAAAGGCTTCCCTGGAATTTCGGTTGCAGTTTTCTTGATCTGGGGTTGGGCTGTTTTTATTTAAACAGTTTCAACTAGCTACCAGTCTTATCCCGAGGCACACTCCTGAATTTCAGACGTCTTTTCCCGAGTGTGCTGCCTTAGCCTCAGACTCCCCAGGCAAAGGACAACTTCCCTGTAAAAGTGAACATGGAAACTCAGGCTTTTCTTAAACCAGCTTCAAATCAGGATTTTACAGGACAAAGAACCACAGAAACCCTGTTACTAACTGCTCTCTATCTCCTGCTTCCCAGTAACTCCAGCCAGTTTGCCTATCTATCTACCACGATTCTCACCCTCTCCTTGCACCAGCGCAAGCCCTTGGACCATGTGCTTTTGAGTTCACTTATGTCCATGGCAATAGGCTCAACAAAACCTGACAACACAATTCGTACTTTCTGTTACCCTGTGGCACGAAGCTTGTTTGGATATTGATTGCGAGATCACAGTTGAAAACAGAAGTCAAAATTAAGGATGTCCCACCCACTTTTTCAGTCGTTTTAGAAATCAGTTAAGCCAGTAATCGCAATGAAAAATATGACATTGGTAAACTCCAGCTTTTTAAGCTATGAGATGACATTAACTTCAGCCATTGCTTCACTGTTATAAGCCTTATGCTTATGCATCATTTGAGTTTATGCAGCCAAAACTAAGGTGGTCTCGAAAATGCAGGAAGCCCAAGGTATTATAGGTACTTGATAGCATTCAGATTTTCTTCTTCAACACTGGAGTAGGAAAGGGAAGATCCATAAGCAATCAGGAGAACTAACTAATAACAGCTTGAAGGTTTCCCTCCTTGGACTCCCACACACATGCATGGTGTTTATGTTGAGCCCTAGAGATTATGAACACCCAATTACAACAGCCTGAAAGCAGTGCTCAGAATAGAAAGTCAAAAGAAAAACAGCACAAACACAATGCATGCAAAATCTAACTTTTATTTTTCTGTTGATAAAACCCAAAGATCCCTCACAGCAGCATCAGATGCAGAAGTTAGCTGCAGAAATGATACCTCTTCTTAATCTCTTTGCATACCCAAGTATGCCAAGTGTGTAAGGACCGCATGTTAACACAGTACAGGCACTGCTCAGTAGTAACAGAGATCAAGTTTCTTGGCATATTTTACTCCATCCTTTCCTCAATAGTATAGGATTTTCATAGTAGTAAAGTATTAATAAATTGTCTCTTTATAGGCTTTTTTGTTGTTGCCATTTAAAAACTTTATTAAATTCTACATGTACAATTTATATGCCCAGATACACCTCCCCACGTTTTGTAGTAGTTGACAAGCTGTATCCAAAATGCTACAACTCAGAATGAAAATGCTACTGCATTAGTGCCTCTAGGTGCACTAGAGTAAATATTTCCATAATAAAACACATCTCTCGGTTCAGTAACACAAGGGATACAGGTTTTAAAATGCACATTTCTATCTCATATCTATACCCTTCTTTAATATATATCTATTTATATATAGCTCTAAAACATCTCTCTACTATTTTACAATTAAAATAAAACACATCCACAGTTGGTCTAACTAGTGATTTTGGTCTCAATACCTTAAACATCAGTTGTTCCATAAAAATGTACAATTCAGCAACATGGTTGTATCAGTAACATGGGGCCTGTTGAAAGAGGCCCATCACACACAACCAACGCAATCCAGTGCTCAATGTCATCTAACTGATAAATATCTATACTGCATTTTCAAACTATCAGCATCTTTAAAACCCAGATTTCTCTTTGCAGGCTTACCATGCTTACAAACATGCATAAAGCAATCATATTTCTCACTTGTCTGTAGCAATCACATTGTTTTTTCCAGTAGGTCAACTGATAAAGCACAAACTTCATGCTGTCATTTTTAGATCACTAACCTTTTCCTTTCTTTCACATACTGAATTATTTCACTATGGATGTCCTCCACGTGAACAGATTAGAGATTAGCCATATAGTAAGAACTGTACTTTTCAGTTTAAGCTTTTAAGAAGCAAATTCTAACAGTCAATTAGGATGCACTCATAGCTGCCATACGAGTGAATGAACACCCAGTAGACAATCAAGTTAATTCTAGATATATACCAAAAGGTGAGGCTTAAAAAACAGAAAACAAACCCAAAGGACCCCAAAACCTAACCTATATGAGTACAGCCTCAAGCCTGGCAGATTCCAAGAAGAGGACCTCTGTCCGGAATTCTTCTTCCCAACAGCAAACAAAAACTGTGCCACCATCAAACATGCTTGAGATAAGACGTTAGTTGCTTCCAGCTGGAGATTCCTTATAACTACCACAACATCACTCCACAGAAAGTTTTACAGCAATGGTGATGTGCAGTACTTACGCAGTACGAACAAGAATCCTCCAAGTCAGCAGCAGTCAGTAATAACACCCCAGACAAGTTCACACGTCACGGTAACCTGGCATATAAGCCTCTGAAAATTCTACTCTTACGCATGTAATAACCAATAATTTAGGTACTAACTATTTCAAGACCAAGACAGTCAGTCTGTAGATAAGACTACAACAGAACATACTAAAAACCACAAGAGGTATGACAATCAAGATGACTATTTTTTAAACAGCAGAAAGTCAGGGAAACATCTGGAATTCTGTTGCACTGCATTAATATAGCTTCTGTTTCCGAGTAGAAAAATACATCTAGAGAGTCAATCCCGAACTGCATACAGAATTATATCACCCCCCCCCTTAACTGCTTTAAAATTAGTACAAAATAAGTTACAGGAATGATTGTTGCGAATTTGTGTCAGTATTACAAAAATCATTATATGAGAACACCATCTGTAAATTATTTACAGGCGAGGTAATACAGTTTCCATAATAATGAATTATAATTTAGCATAAGTGTAAAAATCATGTCCTCACCAAAACACTACAAAATCTGCTATCATTGTCAGCTACACAGTAGATCGTGATTAGGTTTTGTAGTTGATATACAACATATTCTTAAGAAAAGTGCCAAAATACTGCTACATAAGAATCTTCTTCCAAAACCATTCAGCAAAAAAACCTGCAGATGCTATGTTAAGGAATGACAAAAGGAGACAGGAAAAAATAAGAAAAGGGATGCCAATTGTACAAGTATGTCTTGTTAAATGCCTTTGAAAAACCTACACATTCAATTCACGCTTAAAGGTCTGACATGAAAGAGGTTTATTAAAATAAAAAAAATCTAGAAATACCAATATATGCTTTTCCAGGGTTATCTCAGGCCATTTTAAAAGTACACATTCCTCTTAATACACGAAACCTATGCAGACTGAGAACATTCTAAACATGGCTGAACTGCTAAGGGTTGTTGTGATCAGTGGGCTCAAAGTCCTGCTGGATGTCAGCCTCTACTGGTGGACCCCAGGGGTCTGTACTGGGGCCCATACTGGGTAACATATCCACTAAGGACAGGGGTGACAGGACAGAGCAGGCTCTCAGCGAGCCAAAGGGACCTCAGCAGGCTACAGAAATAGGAAACAGGAATCTCTCAAAGTTCAGCAAAGGTAAGTGCAAAGTCCTACACCAGGGAGGAATAACCCCACGCACCACACAGGCTGGGGGCCAACCTGCTTCAAAGCAGCCTTGCAGAGAATGATAACAAGGTGACCACGAGCCACTGTGTGCCCTCGTAGCAAAGCAGCCCAGCAGTCTCCTGGTCTGCATGAGGAAGAGCACTACCAGCAAAATGAGGGAAGTGATTCTTCCCCTCTGCTCAGCCCTGGTGAGTCACAACGCAAGTGCTGTGTCCAGTTTTGGGCTCCCCCTCTATACAGGCATGGGCATTACAAAAGCAAGTCCAGCAAAGGGCCACAAAGGTGATGAAGTGATGGAAGCACCTGACAGACAAGAAGCAGCTGAGAGAAAAGGGATTGTCTAGCCTAGAGAAGGCTCAGGAGGGGTGATCTTACCAACACGTGTAAATGCCTGACAAAGATGAGTATAAAAAAAGAGCCAGATTCTCCCCGGTAGCTTCCAGTGACTGGACAAGAGGCAATGGGCTCCATTTAAACATAAACACGGACCTCTGTAGCATCAGGGAGATCAAACACTAGAACAGGTTGCCCAGAGATTTTCTGGAGTCTCCATCCTTGGAGATGCTTAAAACCCCAGCTGGCTGCAGTCCCGAGCAACCTGCGCTAGCTAACCCTCCTCTGAGCAGGGGGCTCGGACTAGATGATCCCCAGGAGTCCCTCCAACCTCAATCATTCTGTAATTCTACAAAAGGGACAGGGTCTTCTATAGCCCAGGCACTGGATCAACTGAGTCACAAACTATAAAAATGCCAATGGAATCTATTTTCTCCTCAAGTTATTGCATTCAGTTTTGCTGTCTGCGTTTTGCTGATCTCATTTTTTCAAATCTCGACTCCATTTCTTCCAGGACCTTTGGTGTGTATCGCACAACTAATTTAACCTTCCCTTGAGCTGCCTTCAGCAGTTCTACAGCTTTTTCATGGTGTTCACCTTCGACGCTCTGCAAAGCATAAACCATGGAGTAGAGTATTAGTAAAGACACATACTGAGAACAGGTTTTTTTCATTTCTTTGCACAATTTCTATACAATCAGCTATTGAAGTTTTCTAGTTTGAAGACTGCACAAGGACAACATCATCCACATTCAGGATTTATTCTTCATCAAACCAGTAAGAGGTGATGATAAATATACTCATTAGTATTAATAGAGTACTGCAAAACTTTTGGTCAGGTTTATGCTGAACAACCACACTCTATTTACATACAGTAAGTGAAACAAGGGTAACATTAGACAGTCCCGAAATTACACTTAAAACCCAACAACTTCGGAGACACTTATTTAAAACTCCAGATTGTTTTTCTTCTTTCTGGATGCACTTTAAATTCAGCAGTCACTCTCTATTTGCCTAATAAGTTGCCACAGACAACTGCAAGATAGACGCCTTCTTGATATTATTTTGTGTTATGACAGGGTAGAACAGTGCATACCGAGTGCTGCACTAGAGCAGCTAACATGCAGTGTGCTGCTTATCTTAGTGCTCCACATGTCTCTCCATAAATGTAAGGTTTTTAAGTTAATTTCTTCTAAATTGATTCAGAACAGCCTAACCCAACTCGGTAAGAACAGAATCAAAATATTTTCCTAAAAAACCTCAGAATTTATCAGGCTTATACTAGAGCCATCTAATTACAAATTGTAAGCAACAGTTCTCAACAACTTCATCCAAATATGCATAAAATAAAACTTATTTCTCCCAAACTTACTAAACACAATGATGGGACTACCCCAAGCCTACCTCCCAATGGTGCTATTAGAAGCTAGAAGGCAGGCGATGCACCTGTTGATTGGAGGGTTTTCCCGTTACTATAACATTACTTACAGAAAAAAAACCCAACAGTTAAAAAACCCCAAGTTACTTCTCTTCTATCAGACTTAGACAACACACACATTTGAATGCTTTCATTCATGTTATTCAAGCAGATGTGTAGGCTGTTCTGGTTAAAACCAGTAATAAAAGGTGGTAAAGGTCTATGTTTAATTATATCAACAGGCCTGAAATTCTGGAGTATATTAAAAATCTCCCATCTGAAAAAAACACAAACTTGTTTTAAGGCACATTCACTGCAGTCTTGGTAGTGACTTTTTTAATTATTACATCAGTAATTACAAGAAAATGCTTGTCACATAGTAAGGTGACAGGATTCCATCTGTAAACATCAGATGTTTTTTCTGACACCACATTAGCATTTTCAAAAGCATTTCATGCACTCATTCACTGTATTCATACAATGGCAATACATATTTAGACATGTGCTTGCACACACACAGAGTCATTGTTAGCTGCACAAACTGCCTGATGATCAGGTTCAGTTTTGGGTGGTGGTTTTTCTTTTAAGAGAGTCTGTGGGTGAGGAAGGCCTCATCTGAAGAGAGTTCTACCCCTGTCCCTCAATACTTAATGCTTCAAACTAACAGGAAGGCTAGGCCAAGGACAGTTGCATCGCTACAGCCATCCATGTCACTCTTTCATCTCCTGAAAAGAATAGCTGGACTCCCAAATAATAGCCAGGAGCTGAGTATGTCAGAGATCTGCCATAGCAGGGACTTCCCAGAGTACAGACATCCAGTTAGCCTCTATTCCTTCAAGCATCAACCCCCCCTCCTCGAATTAAGACGCACAGGGTTTAGGTTGACCCTCAGTCTTCAAATACAACTGGGTTTGCAGAAGTAGTGATGAAAAAAATTTTAAGCTATCATACAACTTCTCTGCAAATGAAAGCACTGGTTTGAGGACTATTTACATGCATTTTACTAGCAGCTGCCTTAAGTCAAAGCCTGTCCATAGCCTCCTCTTTCCAGCCACTCTGTGTTTTGGTTTTTGTATTCTAACTCTTTAGAAGAAGATACTCATTAAAAATAAAATATTGACGACAGCACTTGATACACATACTGCTTAAAATGTGGTGAAAAGCCTGTGGTTTCAAAGGTCAGTAAACTTAAGTGGAAGGAAAAAAGTACCACACAACTGAAGACACCACCACCTTGTAGTTCCATCTTATTACAGCTTTCATTATGCAGTAGCATTTTTATAGGGATAACGAAAATCTGCTCCCTCTAACGCAACACAGCTTAATTTATTACTTACCTCAGAAGGTGCAAAAAATTACATTAAATAAAATCTGCATCATGAAACTTGGGTTTCACAACATAATACCTGGACTAAAAGTATACAATCCCTCAGAATCTGAAATACTGACGTAGATAGTGCAGTTCCCAAGTGATACACATAACCAATGCATAATCCTAGAACTCTCAATGCACACAACTTCACAGAAACCTAAGCAAACTGCACTTGCGAGGACAAAAAGAAACTATTTCGCCAAGATTAAAAGACGACCTCGAGCTTGTGCCATGTATATTCTCCGTATGCCCCCAAGTGGAATCAAGTAGTTACTGCTACATAAAGTGAAAACCAGTTCCTACCACTCCGTTTACAGAAAGCAGCTGGTCTCCACGTTTCAGGCCTCCGTGCCTATCAGCTATACCACCGGGGATAATACGAGAGATATAGATTGGAGAATTTTGTTCTTTGCCTCCCATTATGTTGAATCCAAGACCTTCTTCTGTTTTGGGTAGTTCAACCACTCTGGGATGGGAATGGCCTTCACTAGCAGCAAATGCAGCTACGGTGGCCTGTAAGATAAAAGATTTTCCTATTTATAAGAAGAAATAAAATATAGACCTCTTAGCTAGACACAGTGAGCAGACTGGAAAAGTATTTTTATCTCCAAGTACTGAAATGTGAAGACAAACGAGATTAATTCTCTAGGTACCAGGGAATGGTATGTAGGGAATAGATAGTAGCTTGAAAAAAATTAGACCTTCAAGAATAAAATTAAAATGGAACAATCTTAAAAATATCAAATCTTTTGTTATATCTTTAAATAACCTGCTAAGCTTATCCCCTTTATCAGACATCTAGATAATATCCTACTGATCTTTAAGTAATAAAATGGTTCTGAAGTAACAAACTACTGTATTTTACACAAGTTACAGTTTGGCTTTTACCTTTGCTGTTGCATTAGCTCTAACTTCTGGGCTACTGCTGATATCCACAGTTTCATATACATGTTCATACACCTTTAGAGACAAAAGAGTTAAAAAGTACAGGGGAAACAGATATTCTTCTGCTTAGATAATATAACAAAATACCAGGTACAATGCAAAAACGCGTAAGTAGTACTCACCTCTAATAAGAAGTTACTCTCTAACTCACTACAAGGTGTCAAGTGACAATCTACCATACTACGAAGAAGTAACTCCCTTGATACGTTTATTGCTCAGTTAGTCCATGCAGATCTAAGCCTCAGCCTAAATCTTCCTCCTGCCACAGCATCCAAACCTTACCATTAGTTCATAAGTGCTTTTGGCTAGTCTAACACATGACTGGAGCCATGGATTACTATCTTCTCTTGTCCAATTCGATGTGAAACTCTTCAATAAGGATGCATGCAAAATCATTTTAAGAAAGCTCTTCAAAGCTCTCCTGACAACCCATCCCTTCCCGCAAGATCCCCATTTTAACTTCAACTGATGCGACTAATCGAATACCTTAGGGAAAAAAAAAGGGTATTGAAAATACAAAGAATAGCAAAATTTTCTGTATTGAAAATACAGAAAATAGCAAAGAATACTTATGCTAAGTACGTGCTTACACTGAAGGCTAATCCACATCCTCATATCTACCTCATAACTTGGACTTGCTAAGCAATAAAACACACTGTCCTCAACACGATGAGGATATTAAGATGATACCTGTGTCTAAAACCAGATCTTTTAAATTATTCCAGGTGTTATCAGTGGTAGCACCAACAATAGCAAGGCATACTCAATCACCTAAAAATCTCTAATAGCGTAACTGGAATGAAGATGAGGTGGTGCAAGGCTCCACCTTGAGATGATGTGGATATGGCTTAAAAGAAACATAGGCAATTGGTACTACGTCCATTCTTACATTCCAGGAGGACAACAGCCTGCTAGCTGCCAGTAAGGACAGACTCTCAAAATAGCCTCTAAAAAAGTTATTTGCTCCCTGCGCTATTAATACATCTATGCTACCCCCAATTATTGCTATTTTCTTCTGAACTTTTAAAAGCAAGTCTTGTTCTATGAAGCTGTGTAAATCAAATTCAGCTCTTAGAGCAAAATCAGATTACTGCACTGGGCACAAAAAGGAAATAGTAAAACATACTGGGTTTTAACTAAAGGTAACTGCTTATGTCAAATTAACTTACCTCCCTTACAGCGTTACAGAATTCACTTTGAAGGACCCTTTGCAATGCCTGTAGCTTTTGTGGTGGCACTTCTCCACTTCTCTGTAATTTTTCCAGCAGCTCAATTGCTCTGCAGATGTCTACAGAAAAATAAAGCACCAACAATAAGGAACGTCTGAGAAAATTACCGGTTTGTTTTCTCTTTCTTTCTTCATTTTAATGGAGCAGTCTCTGTGTGTGCACATTTTAATATATAGCTTTAAGGTGTATACCTTGGATTTCTCCCATAAAACTATATATCTACAAAACGTTACAATAAAACATGCTACTTTCAGACTCTTTTTAAGTCAACCACAGCATCCAACCCTGTAAAAAAATCTGGAGTTATCGCTGCCACATTACACAGACAATCTGATTTTTCCTTGAAGTTTAAATCAGACTAAAATACTTCAACGACATATACACTATCAACATCTCTTATGCGTACTTCATAATTTATCTACTGCCATTGATCATATTTTGTTAAAACTAGCAAACCAGCTAAAATATTGTCAAAACTACCAACATACCTTTTACATTAAAAAAACATAAAAATAAAAAAAAATTAGTTCAACAAGACTCTTGCAAGTAACAGAGGAGCCAAGAAGGAGAGGTGCCATGATTGACCTTGTGCTCACCAACAGGGAGGGACTGCTTAGAAATGTGACGCTCCAGGGCAGCCTTGACTGTAGCGACCATGAGATGGTCGAGTTTGAGATCCTCAGGACAGTGAGAAGGCAAGCTCACTGTCCTGGACTTCGAGAGAGCAGACTTTGGCCTCTTCAGGAACCTGCTTAGTAAGGTTCCATGATAGTCCTAGAGGGCAGGAGGGGGCCCAAAACTGCTGGTTGATATTCAGGGATCAC